TCCAGAGGGCTGAGGAAGGGTTGTTGAGGTGGTTCAGACAGTAGAGAGAATGGAGCGAAACAGAGTGACTTCAAGAGTGTATCATCTGTAGTGGAAGGAAGGCGGGTAGGGGTCGGCCTAGGAAAGGTTGGAGGGAGGGGGTTTAAAAGGGAAATTTTGTTGCGAGGGGGTTTGGGCTTTCCCGCAGGCATGGGGTGAGCGTGTGTGATAGGAGTGAATGGAGACAAATGGTTTTTAATACTTGATGTGCTGTTGGAGTGTGAGCAAAGTAAACATTTATGAAGGAGTTCAGGAAACGGCAGGGCCGGGTTTGTGTCCTGGAATGGGGAAATACAGTGCCTGCACTCTGAAGGAGGGTGTTAATGTTGCAGTTTAAAAACTGTAGTGTAAAGCACCCTTCTGGCAAGACGTGATGGAGTGAATGATGGTGAAAGTTTTTCTTTTTCGGGCCACCCTGCCTTGGTGGGAATCGGCCAGTGTGATAATAAAAAAAAAAATAAAACACTTTTCAACATCCCTCGAGTAAGACTCACTATGCAAGAACACTATGCACATAAAAGGCCCGAAGATCTGGAACACTCTACTGGAACAAGTCAAGGAACCCCAGACAGCTTATAAATTTAGGACTTTGCTAAAAAATCACCTATCTCACAATATTAACCAAATCAGCCAAACATCTACTGACTAGTTTTATCATGTGACCTCCTGGCTTTTAATTCTGCCATTCCATAAAATATTACAACCTGCGTCATTACTTGTAAGTTAGATTTTGTACTAAGTTTACATAAGATTTATTAAGTTCAAATAAGATTGTAAAACAGCTAACCACTACTCCATGTTTAGTTTTAAGTATCATTACTATGTACTATTATCTTATCTAGTTTTAATTAGGTACTATGTACAGTGGTCCCTCGTTTATCGTCGTTAATCCGTTCCTGGAAGTGCGACGATTATTGAAATAGACGATTTTCGAATCAATTTTCCCCATAAGAAATAATGTAAATACAATTAATCCATTCGTGACACCCAGAAGTATTAAAACAACAAATTTTTTTACGTGAAATATAGATGTAGTACATAAACTATACAATGGGACATGATGAATGAAACATTAACAGCATAATACTTACCTTTACTGGTGATTCTTTTTAGTGTATGGAAGACTGGAGGAGGAGAGAGATTGGATTAGTTACTCTTTGGAAGGGGAATCCCCTTCGATCAACACCTCTGGTACCAAGTGTTTTTCTGGGGTTACATCTCTTCTCTGTTTCTTAATGCCACTAGGACCAGCTTGAGAGTCACTGGAGTCCTCTCTCACAAAAAAAGTGTCCAGAGAGCTCTGTTTCTGGCATCTCTTTAAAACTTCCCTAAAATGGGCCAAGACTCTGTCACTGTACAAGTTGCCGATATGGCTTACAACATTCTTCTCAGGGTGATGTTTCTCCATAAATCTTTCCATCCTACCCCACATTTCAAAAATCTCCTTGATTTCTGAAGAAGACACCTTCTTCCATCCCTCTTCCTCCTACTCTGCAGGAAGATTCTGAGCTGCGATCTGTTGCTGTTCCTGCTGAAGCTCTTGCAGCTCCTCAGTGGTTAGCTCTTTGTTGTGGTCCTCCACCAACTCCTTCACATCCTTCAAACTCACATCCAACCCCATGGAATTCCCCAATGCCACAATAAAGTTCACAAGTGACATAGGCTCATCAGGGTCAGCCCCAAACCCTTCAAAATCCCTCATGTGGACACAGTCTGGCCACAATTGTCTCCAAGCAGAGTTCAAAGTCCTTGTAGTCACTCCCTCCCAAGCCTTACCTATAAGGCTTATGCAATGGAGGATACTGAAGTGTTCTTTCCAAAAATCTTTTAGGGTCAAGTGAGTGTCTGAGGTTACATTAAAGCACCTTTGAAACATTGCTTTGGTGTAGAGCTTTTTAACCCTTAACCCTTTCAGGGTCCGTCCCATAGATCTACGGCTTTACGTTGAGTGTCCAAACCGTAGATCTACGCCATGAGCTCAGCTCACTCTGATAAACTGTGAGTGGTACATTTGGGCCTAGATATGAGAGAATACATCTATGTGGTATGTGTGCACCACATAAAACAGATCCTGCAGCACACTGTGTATAATGAGAGAAAAAAACTGAAATCATGATTTTTCGATTAAAACAGCAACTTTGCAGTGTTTTTTCGTATGTTTTTTATAGTTGTATTTGCGATTTCTTGGTCTCATTTGATAGAATGGAAGACATATTTACAGAAATAGAGATGATTTTGATTGGTTTTAGCACTGGAAATGGCTTGAAACTGAGCTCAAAGTAGCGGAAATGTTAAATTTTTGCCGATATTCAAGAGTAAACAAACGACCTCACACATCTAATACACGTCAGCTGGTGGGTCTAATATACATTCACAAATATGGTGATGATATTTATACAATTATTACAGTATTGCATAACAGTAAATCTTCTATTTTTTGGTGTTAATAAAAATTCATTATGTGAATAAAAAATCAAAATGGAATTTATTTGTAAAGCCTCAAAACATAACTAATGAACAGAGGAAATGTTAGTTTAGTGCCAGAATGCCTACATTGTTTATTCTGGACCCTATTTTGAAATTGGAATATTTTGAACTTTTGTGTTAAATTGGCCAAAATTAACAATTTCCGATCACTTTATTTTGTAGTTGAAACAGTTGACTTGGCGATTTCTTGTGCTCAATCGATAGAATAGAAGTAATACTAGTGAAATAGCTAAGAATTTGGTTGATTGGAATAATGTAATTGGCCTAAAATGGGAGTCAAAGTCGGCAAAATCGCCGATTTGTAAATGTCGCTGACACATCAAAATTCGCGAGAGCATAATTTCGTCAATTTTCCACCAAATTTCGTACTTTTTGTTTTATTACCTTCACAAAAAGATTCTCTACGATTTCATAAGAAAAAATAACAAATTTTTTTTTTGAAAATTCTTGGACACTGGTGCGTGACTCCAGATTTGGGCCTTGGACCCTGAAAGGGTTAAACGGTCCAAAGAGATTGACGTTCAAATTCGTACTGCTACAAAAGTAGATCTACTTTTTTTTTAATTTTTTTTTTTTATTATTATCACACTGGCCGATTCCCACCAAGGCAGGGTGGCCCGAAAAAGAAAAACTTTCACCATCATTCACTCCATCACTGTCTTGCCAGAAGGGTGTTTTACACTACAGTTTTTAAATTGCAACATTAACACCCTTCCTTCAGATATAACAAATATAACAAAAAAAATGTAGATAAAAGTTTTTTTACATGTTTTCAAATGTAAAACAAAAAAGAAGATCTACATTTTTTACATACTTTCAGATGTTGAAAAAACATATATATACGTTTGGACCATTTAAGGGTTAAAGTTTGAAATGACCTGCTGGTCCATGGGCTGGAGGAGAGGAGTGGTATTCGGGGGCAAGAACTTTACTGTGATTAACCCCAAACTCCTTCAGAATTAGGTCATCCAAGTTTGGAGGATGAGCAGGTGCATTGTCCATTAGTAGGAGGCACTTGAGATCCAATTTCTTTTCCAGTAGGTAATTCTTCATACTAGGGCCAAACACTTCATTGAACCACTCGATGAAAATTTCCCTCGTGACCCATACCTTATCATTAGATCCCCAAAACACACACAATTTGCTCTTCATAACATTGTTTTTCCTGAACACACTGGGATTTTCAGAATGGTACACTAGTAACGGCTTCACTTTGAAATCCCCATTAGCATTAGCACAGAACATGAGTGTCAGCCTGTCTTTCATAGGCTTGTGTCCTGGCAGTGCCTTTTCCTCCTGAGTAATGTAGGTCCTGTTTGGCATTTTCTTCCAAAAGAGGCCTGTTTCATCACAATTGAACACTTGTTCATGTTTCAGTCCTTCAGCCTCTATGTACTCCTTGAATTCCTGCACATATTTTTAAGCCGCTTTTTGGTCCAAACTGGCAGCCTCACCATGCCTTATCACACTGTGTATGCCACTACGGTTCTTAAATCTCTAAAACCAACGTTTGCTGGCCTTAAATTCACAATTATCAGTACTCGTTGCAGGCAATTTCTTTACCAGATCGTCATGCAACTGCCTAGCCTTTTCTTAAATAATCGATGTCATAAGACTATCTCCTGCTAATTGTTTCTCGTTTATCCACACCAATAATAACTTCTCAACATCTTCGAGTACTGGTGATCTCTTTTTTGTCAGCATATTAACCCCCTTTGCAACAACAGCTTCCTTGATTTTCTTTTTCTTGGCCACGATGGAAGATATGGTTGTACGGGATTTGTTATACATCCTGGCCAGTTCGGCCACACATACGCCACTTTCATATTGTTCAATGATGTTTTTCTTAAATTCAACCGCATTTCTCATCTTCTTCACCAAAGGCTTGGCACTAGGAGCTTTCTTTGGAGCCATGGTAGCTTATTTAGCACTTGCAAGCACTAAAATGAATGGAATATTATGAAATATTTCATATGAACAAGTGAGGGGACCGTCGCTCACTGGTAAACAATAGCACACTGGCTGGGAAGGGAGGCCGAGGCGGCTCAGAGCCGTCAGTACGCGTCCAGGATGAACAACGATTAGCGAGTCAACCGGCCATTTGCAAGCCAATGTTTGGACGAAAATAATGCGACGATTTCCGAAAAGGACTACTATTGAGCCCGATGATTATCGACTTACCACTGTATTAAGATTAGTTTGCCCGAAATGCCTTGGCGTGATAGTGCTTATCTTTGTACTTAGCAAATCAAAATTGTAATTACATGTTGTAACCTTTACAAAGAAATAAACTTATTATTATTATTCCTCAAAATATTCCCTTCGTCTTCCCAATACTTTTGACTCCCCATCTAATAACTCTCCTCTTCTGTTTTTAACTGTAAGATTCATTCTTTTCCTAGGCTATCTCAACCTATTAATCTCAGCTAGGTGTATTTATTTGAAAGTAAACCCCAGCACCTTATTTTTTCCAGGTGGCACAGTGTTACTTGTAGGTCACAGTTCGACTCTGGAAACTTGTACAAGAGAATTAGTTGGAGGAGCACCAAGAACAGAAAGTGAGCTGTTTGCTGTGGTCAAAGAGGTCTGTGTGAAACCAGTATTTATATTTTACCTAAATTTGTTGCTTTATTATTTAGGTGTAGTATCGTATGTGAGTTGGAGACAAATGGCACAAAGCCAGCAAGTTGTGAAACACACAATTACAGAGAGGAGCTTTGTTGAGATGTTTCAGATGTGGACATTTTTGTTCAGTCAGTGACTGAAGAAGATTGTTCACAGGCAAAGCATCTCAATAAAATTCCTCTTTCCAATTGTATCTTTTTCACTGTGAGTTCTCCACTGAATGGCTCTGGCTTTAACCCTTAAACTGTCCAAACGTAGATCTACGTTTGCACGCGTAGCACTCCAAACATAGATCAACGTTTTATTTTTCATTCCTTCAAGTTTGGCACAATAGGTTTGAGTTGCTTAGACATGAAAGAATGGGTCTGTGCACTTAGTGTGTGCAGTATTAAAAAAAATCTGGGAGCACTTATTACCTTGTGGGAGCACCATTTTAATTGTACGCCATCTAGAGCAAATAGTGTGGCAAACACCAGGAACTCACTGATATGTCGCATTAACACTACCATTTTAAGAGGAAAGTAAAAATAGGTTAGATAAATACATGAGAGTGTGTGGGTGGGTGGAGTTGAACCTGACTAGCTTGTGCTACTAGGTCTGATGTCATGCTCCTTCCTTCAGTGGATGTGACCTGACTAGGTGGGTCATTGGTCTAAGCTGGGGGGAGAGGGTGACATGTACCTGCCTTGCATGGGCCAGTAGGCCTGCTGCAGTGTTCCTTCTTTCTCATGTTCTTATGTATTCGGCAGGATGGCCGGCTGGCTTGCTTTGGCGGTCTCTGGCTGTTTCTCTCTTTCTCTCTATATCTCTGTCTATATCTCTATCTGTCTATATCTCTGTCTATCTATACAGTGGAACCTCAAAAAACGAACTTGATCTGTTCCAGGAGCTAGTTCTAAATTCGAAAAGTCTGAAATTCAAAGCGATATTTCCCATAAGAAATAATGGAAATACAATTAATCCGTTCCAGAAACCCAAAAATATTCACACAAAAAATACATTTTATAGAGATTAATTACAGTTTTACATACAACAAATACTATACTTTTTAATTATGTATAGTAATACATATAAAATTATTACTTCCCTTTATTGAAGATTGGTGATGGCATCTGGAAGATAGGGAGGAGGAGAGAGGGAGTTGGGGTTAGTGTTTGGAAGGAGAACCCCGCTCCATGAGGGACTTCAGGTAAAGCTCTCTCTGGGTTACTTCTCTTCTCTGTTTTTTAAATTTCCACTAGGACCAGCTTGAGAGTCACGGGGACCTCTGTCCAAAAAATAACTGTCCACAGTCCTCTGTTTCTGGTGCCTCTTTAACATTTCCCTAAAATGGGACATGGTCTGTCACTGAACTTGTTGCAAAGATGGCTTGTTTCAGCTTGCTCAGGGTGGTACTTCGGCACAAACATTTGGACATCATTCCACTTGGCACAAATCTCCTTAATCTTTGAAGAAGGCACCTCATCCACTCCCTATATTAGCACCTTCGCAACATCAGCTTCCTTGATTTGTTCTTTCTTTGCCAGGATAGAACTGATGGTCGACTTTTTTTTTTCCATACACCCTGGCAAGCTCAACAAGTCTCACACCACTCTCATACTTCTGTATTATTTCCTTCTTCACATCTATGGTTTTTCTCTCACTTTCCCTTTACCACAGGGGTACCACTAGCAAGTTTCCTTTGGGCCCATGGCAGCTTTTTTCACAGTCCCACAAGCACTAAACACAAGGAAATAATCGTAAAATGCGTGAAGAGAGAGCAGGTTAGTGTTCACTCAAGCATAAACAAAGCTAGATTGCTCACGGCGCCTGTGCAGGGATACGGACAGAGCGGGCAGCAGACAGGTCCCGTACCCAGGGGTCCGAAAACAGGGTGCGTTCGACAATAGGACACAGTTTGTCCCGAAAAAATGGTCCTATTTCGAAACGTTCAATATGTGATGCGTTCGATTTTTGAGGTTCCACGTATCTGTCTCACATGTACACATAATACACCTACCATCCGACTTACGACGACTTGACTTAGGACCGGTTTTTTTAGCCAAATTTCTGGGAAATAAACAAGTGTTTGTTTTTGTACACAGTGTTTATCCTAAACTTACAGTATAAAATACAGTACAGTGGGCCCACGCCTAACTTGGCATCGCAAAGCTTTTAAATCCGCCTAGCGTTACATTTTATCGCTTAACACTCGCTCAACGTGTTTTCGTCCGACACGCGTCTATGTGCAGCCTGAGCCAGCCTAAACATGTTCCGCCGGTTGCATTGTTTTGCAAGCCAGACTCCACATAACATCCAAGCATGCAATCGGAACATTTCGTATTATTACAACGTTTTTAGTGATTTCACCTGCAAAATAAGTGACCATGGGCCCCAAGAAAGCTTCTAGTGAAAACCCTACAGGAATAAGGGTGAGAATTAATATTGGAATGAAAAAAGAGATCATTGTTAAGTATGAAAGTGGATTTACGTCCCCTCCGAGCTGGCCGGGTTTTGTATAGTAAACCCCAATCAACCATCGCTCTATTGGGTGTCCAAGAAAACGGCAATCAAGGAAGCTGTTCTTGCCAAAGGTGCAATTTTGTTTTCGAAACTGAGATCACAAGTGACAGAAGATGTTGAAGACTGTTATTGGGGGGATAAACGAAAAACAGAATAGCAGTAGATAGCATCTCTCAAGCGATCATAAGTGAAAGGTTAGGAAGTTGCATCAGGATTTAATTAGAAAAATGCCTGCAACTAGTGATGATGTGAGTGAATTTAAGGCCAGCAAAGGGTGGTTGAGAGATTTAAGAAGCGTAGTGGCATACATAGTGTGATAAGGCATGGTGAGGCTGCCAGTTCGGACCACAAAGCCGCTGAAAAATATGTGCAGGAATTCAAGGAGTACAATGACAGTGAAGGACTGAAACCTGAAAAAAGCTTTTAAATTTGTGACAAAACAGGTCTGTTTTGGAAGAAAATGCCAAAGCAGGACCTACATTACTCAGAGGAAAATGCACTCCCAGGACATAAGCCTAAGAAAAACAGGCTTACTCTGTTTAAAATGTCCAATGTAGTGGGATTGCAAAGTGAAGCCTTTATTAGTGTATCACTCTGAAACTCCCAGAGCTTTCAGGCAAAAGAATATCCTCAAACTAATTTGTGTGTGCTGTGGAGGGCAAAAAAGGGAAGGCATGGGTCAACTAGGGACTTTTTTTTGACTGGTTACACCAAGCATTTGCCCCCACTGTGAAAAATTACCTAATTGAAAATAAATTAGACCTTAAGTGCCTCCTGGTATTAGACAATGCCCCTGGTCCCTCCTACAACTTGGGAGAGCGACTTTGTGGGACATGAGCTTCATTTAAGGTCAAGTTTTTGCCTCCTAATACCAAACCCTCTCCTGCAGCCCATGGACCAGCAGGTCATTTCAAACTTCAAAAACTGTACACAAAAGCTCTGTTTGAAAGGTGCTTTTTGTGACCTCAGAAACTCATTCGACTCTAAAGAGAGTTTTGGAGAGATCACTTTTAATATCCTCAATTGTGTAAACCTTATAGGTAAGGCTTTGGGGGGGAGTGACTAAGAGGGCTTGAACTCTGCTTGGAAGAAACTGTGGCCAGAATGTGTTGACAAAAGGGATTTTGAAGGATTGAGGCTAACCCTGAAGGCATATGCCCGTGAGGAAATCAATTGTGGCATTGGGGAAGTCCTTGGGGTTGGGGGGTTTGTGGTTAGGATGTGGAAGAGTTGGTGGAGGAGGAAAAATGAAGAACTAACCACTGATTAGCTGCTAGATCAACTTCAACAGCAAGAGGGCCCCACCTGAGGAAACTGCTTCGGAGGAGGGATAGAGAAATTGAAGAAGTTGCTTACTCAAAGATTAATTAAATCTGTGCAAAGTGGCTTGAAGTGCAAACCTTTATGGATGAAATCACCCTCAGACAGCTGTTGCAAGCCGTGCTGGTGACTATTACACTGACACTGTTGTGAAACACTTTAGGGAAAATCATAAAGGAGCGAGAGGGACAGACCTCTATGGACAGATGTGTTTGTGCGACAGAAGTCCAGTGAAATCTGAAGCTGGTCCTAGTGGCATTAAAAAGAAGAAGGGAAGTAACCCCCCGGAAAAGGGCTTGACACCTCAAGTCCTAATGGAAGGGGATTCCCCTTCTAAACACCCAAGACCATCAACACCCCTCCCCCTCCCCCCATCTCATCAGTCATCACCAGAACTTCAATAAAGGTAAGTGTCATGTAACTGTGCATGTCTTCTTCAGTTTGTGCGTATTAAAATTAATATTTCATGTGGTAAAAATTTTTTTTTGTTCATACATTGGGGTGTCAGGAACAGATTAATTTGATTTTCGTTATTTCTTATGGGGAAAATTCATTCGCCTAACGATAATTTCACTTAACGTTGAGCTCTCAGGAACGGATTAATAGCGTTATGCGAGGGTCCACTGTACTAACAGCGTAAAAAGTAAAGTAAAACATGAAATACCAAAATAAAACAATAAAATAAAGTCATTACAAAAATGTTATTTTGATTTTCAGTAATAAAGTTCAACTTACGACCATTTCGACTTACGACCGGTTTCTCGGACCCAAATTCAGTCGCAAGTCGGATGGTAGGTGTACAGTTATTATACATGGTGTAAATTACCTAGGATAATCCAAAATTTCCAGGCAAAGATAGACAGACAGGTAGACAGACAGACAGATAGACAAAAACATGTTTGTGTGTATCAGTGAAAACAAACAAAGCCAGGGTTCCTCTAAGCACTCATTTATCAAATGTCACCAAGCTGATAACAGATGTCATAACACAGTTCTTCAAGGAGTTTGATATCCCATACTCCAGGCAGACAGAAAGACAGATAAGCAGAGACGGACAGACAGGGAGGCCAGCAGATAGACAGATACAGATAGATAGACAGGCAGACAGATAGACAGGCAAATAGACAGACAGATAGA